GTTCTCAGAACTTCTCCATGTGAACAAACATTACATCTTTCACACGCTCCATTCTATATTGGTATTTAAAAACAAATAAATGATCCCAACAAATTTTTTTTTGGTTTTTAAGCTTCCACTAAGAGGAAATATTAAAAACAATACATCAAGTAATTGGGAGACTTCTTAAAATGGAATATGTGGGGGATTCATTGCAAAATGAAAACAAAAGAGCACGCTCTTAAGGCCATGATGTGAGGGCTAAAATAGTTGATGGTTTTCAGTGGCATCCATGCATCGTTCCTGATGTTTCCACAATTCAAATTACTTATGAGGAGCTCAATGCAATACTGAAGTACTTTCTATCTTGCTATTCCATTCTAATTCTTTGACAGGAAAAATGGGAGCTTGGCCAAAATCCTCTCTAGTTTCACTTTCTTTCTTGAAATCCTTCCCTGCTTTTCTTTTTAACTTTGTCACATTGTTTGGATTAGGACAGATTCAATTTTAAACAACCTCCATACCAGCAAAGGGAGACACAAGCCCAAAGGGGTTTGTCACGTGCGGTTGCTGTGAAAGGTCCAGCTTGGTTGGGCTGGAGTATGCAGCAACCGGTAGAGTTTATTCTATTTCTGTCTTTCAGCCTCTAATCTTTGCGGTATTTTGGGAAAAATAGGGATCTTACTGACTGAACTCTTTAGAGGATGAGAGTTACAAGCATTTTCATTTATCTTAATTATCTATAGGCATTTGTGAGGAAACTGTCCTACCTGGTATTCACCCAGATGAGAATCAAGATTGCTCTGTGTGCTTGTCCCGACTCCCAAATCAGCACCCCTCTTTTTTTAATCTTTTTTTAAGTAGGAGCTGAAGAGCCAGTGTGGCTGTATTGATACAGTCCGCTTTTCCCTAGCCCCCTATCTTCTCCTACGTGAAGTTTGGAGGGCAGCTTGATTCCATTTTGCACAGTGCTTAATAATGTAAGACGTCTTTATAGCACTCTAATACGAACAGCTACAGTGGTAGATTAGGAAAAACTAACCAGAAGAGTTAGATTCAGTCCCTTCAACAAAATGATTTGAAGGGATTTATCACCAGCCATTTTCTAAGGAAGGAATAAATTATATGTTTACACATAAGTTTAATGTACACATTCTCTTGCATCGTTGCTGTGGACTTCAGCAATTGATCTTTTTTGGATAGGAAAATAAGGAAGAGTTACGCTTCCTTTTCTGGTAACCAAAAAGCCACTCACATATTTGATTTTAAGATTGGGCTACCTCAGGAGAGATATTTTGGGGACTATTTTAAAAAACATAACCTTGGCTTCCCTTTTCTCCAGCAACTAATGTTTTTTTCAGGTAGGGGCACATATGCTCAGTGTTAAACTATATTGTAGCACGAGGGCGTTCTGAATAATGTATGCATGGTATGTATATTTATAGAGAGGCGTATCTCATGGTGGCACTACAGGTTATAATAATGAAACTGTAAAGCAAGTACCCTATTTTACATTGTAACAAACATCTTTTTTTCTGTCAAAGAGCTAATACCAAGTTTTCAGAAAGTGATGTGTATTTTAAGAATGTAATTTCTTGTTGCTTTTAAGACAGAGGTAAGCCTATTGAATAATGAAGTAGTAATAGAGTTTTGATTTCTGCTGAATACTGTTTTATGGCATTTCTGTGGCAAGGCCTATTGAGAAGTTCAAACCTGCTTAGTTTTCCATCAAGTACCTTTTGGTGCATACGGTAAATTATTTAATTATAACATAATATATGCAAATTTATGACCTAAAAATTAGGAAGCGACTATATGATGGTTGCTTACGTAGTTGTAGTTCAGCCCTTGCTGCATCCGCATATTGCTAAAGCCTCAGACTGTGTCATTGTACACCATTTGTTCTGCAGGAAACCTGCCTCATTTGGTGCTAAAGATAGATGTCTCAGGTTGCAAAGAGAAGGTGACACAAAGAAAACATAACATTCTTTTTTAATTTAGGGGATGAGGCTGCGTTGCAAGAGCAGTTGAGTTCTGCTCTCTCATACTATGTGCACACAAGGGGGGTGACCTCTGAAGAGAGCGTTGCTTCTGATATTTGCTGATTTTTTTTGAACACTTGACTTCTAAGGATGAATGTATGTTTCTTGTAATTTTTGTATGTGATAAAAAGTGCCTTAAAAGTTAGCCATTAAAACATTAAAATTATTTTCAAAATGACAGAGGAAGTCAGTATTTCAAAGTGGAATAAATCAAAGCACAAGGTAACGCTGTTTGTTGTGTTCACTTGTGTCACAGTTTAGCCTTGTGACTGTGTAGTCTCTTCCTTCCGTTATACATTAAGGCTGCCAAGGATAGCTGACGTTTAGTTTTTACAATATAACTTGACATGCCTTTGGTCGTGATGGGCGTCAGGGAAGTTAAGTAAAATTTCTTACTTGGAGCAAAAGATACGTGACTTTTTGTCTGTCATACCGCATGCACTTTATTCCTACTTGAGATAATTTTTTCAAGTTGCTGCGCCCTTTTTCAAGATGCTTCGCTGATTTGGTTTCAGCTTTAAAAAACAAACAAACAACGTTCTTTGCTCGCTTTGTAGTGAGTTTCAGAGAGTTATACAGCGGTTAGTGTCTCTTACTTCTTTTGTGCCGAGTAAAGCTACAAGGAGCTGTTGCTCACGAGGAGAATTACAACTGTGTTTGTAAGTGAAGAAAAAGCAGGATTTGACTTTTTAAACTCTATTTAGCGTGGGCGTCCTGCTCAGGTTTATGTATGAGAATCATGTCTTATCTAAGCATCAGGGTATAAATAAAATCATTTATTATTTATTTTTTTCATCTTCTAGAACAAACAAGAGAATATAAATTGGGGAAAAAAAAATCCTACTCTCTGAGATTGTTTCCCATATGCCCAGAGAAAGGAAGAAAGATGCATACAAATGTTTAGCATGTGCAAGTTTCTTGGTGCATGATTGGTTCCCTACTTAGGAGTGGAATTCAATGAAATAAGACTCCTCTTTTAAAAACAAAGAGTAAGCGCACAACAAAGGATAAGTGATCAAATGATTAGCCAGAGGCTAATAGGAATGCAAGGGAAGAGTGACAGATTGCATATTAGGAGGAAATCTGATCTGGAAATTAATTTGAAGCTTTCTGCAGCTGAGGCTGCAAAAGAACTAATTTTGAAATCTTTCTGAAGGACGTAAATACATGAAAATTCTGACTTGCTTGTCTATAAAGTATTGTATAATACAAGAAAGAAGACTAATGGATAAATAAAGTTGAATTACAATTTAGAGGAATTCCCCCCCCTCCCCCTTTTTTTTAAAAACTAATTTTAAAAAAAAAACAAAACTGTCTTTGCTTAGGGTGAAATATGCATCTGCCTGTAGCCTAGCGTGAGAAATTGTGTTAATGTACTTACAAATTCTGGTGATTTAGAAATATGCATGCTGTGAGGATCTCTGTGGTTGAATCTACATTCTGTTGTATGCAAATAGGAGAGTAAAATCAGGACAGCAGATAAATACCTACCCAGACACAATGGCTACATGTCAACAGGGAAATATACTTGAATATTGGAAAAGCCAGAGCTTTTAATTATGAAGAAGTGAGTATTTCCTTATTTAGTGACCTACCAAATGGTTTTAATTTAACCTTGTGGTAGGTAGATGACACTTTGTATTAATAGAATTCGCTTTCTTTATAGAGACCACATTCCCTTTCTTCAAAATTTAACATTAACTGCTGTAGTACAGCAGTGTCTGAGTCCACACGTTTTTTTTTAAGGTTCAAAACATTCCTTTAAAAAAAGACAGACAAACCAATTAAAAAATCAGCTTATGGAAGTTTGCTGGTTTACTTTTTTAAAATTCTATGTTTTAATTTTAAAACATTAATAAATACACCACGGTAAAATTCTAAAGAATTGATAAATACAGAACAGTAACATTTGAATACAACAGATGAACTAAACTTTTGTCGGCATATTACTAAAATTACTTGCTGCTGAAGGATGGAAATTAGCTTTATGTAGGCTTTGATAGTCTTGAAGCTGTTTGTAAAGCTTGATTTTTCTGAGTAATTCTCTGCTGTTTTTTGATTCATGTAAATACTTGCTGCTTATGTAAAAGAAAAAAGTGACGCAAACCGTATATGAAGGTATCGGGTTAGTATAAGTTGTAATTTTAAAAACCCCTCTTATTTATGCCTTTCATCATTTTATATAGTAAAGGAGAAAAGTGGTACAGTGAAGTAGCTTTTGGATTTATGTATGCATCATTGCTTTCTTCTGAATAGAATTACAAACGCTTAATTTCAAGTTGACACTCCTATAAGAGTAACAGTTTCTCTTCTGATTCGCAGTTCCTGTATAGTTGTGCACTTCATGTTGTTGTTGGGATCTTCTTGGTGGTGGGTTTAGCATGAGAAGCGAAGATCTGTCACTGATAATCCTCTTACCTCCGAGGGCCAAACCATGCAGTATATAAAGAACCTTTCAAGTCCTGTTCTTGTCTTTACATTTCTGTCATACATTTATTTAGTACATCAGCAATTGAACAACAATAAAAACTGAGTCTTGAAAAACAACTATTGTATTAATAGAAACAAATCTTATTAGTTACTCGTCATTAACAATGTCTTATAAAGAGTAAAGAGGAAGGAGAAGTGCTGCAGCCTTGTAGTCTGTCTCTAGCCTGTAGGTCCGTATTCCCAGGTAAAAGGTCAGATCTATATTTTATATTGTTTTGCCTTTTAGTCCTTTGTATTATGTTTTCCTTGTTTCAAGACTCGCATCGTAACAGTCTCTTTGGAGGCGTTAGCTAACATCAGTACAATACTCAGGGATTTGCAGCTATTTTTAAAGGAAGTATATGAGAAAATAAATTCTGATTCTGGTGCCGTGGTGTCTAATACATAGCTGAGATGTTCCAGCCGTAACCACTCTGGTTAAGCCATGCTAATTGTTACAACCAGAGATATTGGTATTCTCTACTAAATCTGTTCTGCTTCTGTTTGCAGCTATGTCATCTTATCTTTTAATTGTTAAATCTGAACTTCCTGGTGCTGTTGCGGGGTTCTTAAGTGGAGACGAGAGTGGGTAAGGAAAAATGCTTCAAACATACTGTATTTGTCTTGAAGAAGAAAGTGGTTCAGGACTGCTGAGAGAGATGGGTATTGACACTTCCCTCTGATCTCACATGCTAAAAAAATCAGTTATTTACAGGAGTTCTTGGAATATGAAATGTCTTTGGCATGTGCAAGCCTTCTGCAGCACACACACAGAGACTGTGATTCTTTCCTCATAGCAATTTCCCATCAGACGACCTTAAAGTCAGCGGCAAATCTCCATCTACAGAAATCTGCCTTCCTGTAAAAATTTAAAAGGGGAGACAGGAGGGAGAGGAGGAGAAATATTTAAACTGCTGTCATGTTATCACTTCACATATTTCAAAACCACAGTACAAAAACCGGCAGAGATTTAAATTTAAATATTTTGTTGTCTTGCTGCAGTAATTGGACTTGTCTTGGGAAAAATGCCAGGATTCCAGACTTGGTTTATAATTCCTTAGCTTGGCTCCCGGTAGAGAAATTATTCTTCGCAATTGAGCTATAAAGCTGTGTGTAAGGAGTGTGTCCCTCAGATTTCTATCAGAACTGTCGCAAGAAATCTGTGCCTGTGCTAAGACAAACATTGCAGCTTCAGCACTGAAATACCTTGTTTGAGTTGTTCCAGCGCTGCTGTCATTTGTAGCGGTGTATCTTAGATTGTGTTACGGCTGTTTATCCAAACCGCTTTTTTCAGATGTTTTGAGCTCAAAACTTTCTCTGGATTGAAACGTGGTGAAATTGTCTCAATGCTGTGTGATGCCTGTATTATTCCTGAATGTTGTGGGTGAATTTTAAGTTTGGAATTAGTTTTTTAAAAGGTACTTTAGTTCATTTTATATTTTGTCATTTCTAACTTTTCCATTTTGTAAGGAACATTTTGAGAAATGAAGTGTGGTGGTAATGTTGCTTTCTGTCTTTCTGCCCTCCTGGCCCTTGCAATGATCTGTTTTTAGTAAGGGGCGTGTTTTTTTTTTTTACTATTATTTTTTATGTGTATATGTCACTTTTAGTCTGCTAATGTATCTTTTCCGGCTGTGACAGTCATCAGCTTTTCATTTGGGTGCTATCACCTTCTCTTTCAAGATCATACTTTTAACTCCACTCTTTATACACAGGGACGTTGAGCCTGCTACTGTATCTGCTGCATGTGTGTTCCAGTCTGTCTGTCCTCAAACGTAGCATATAACATCACTTACTACTGTTTTTAATTTTATGTCAGCTCTGTTTATGCAAAGTGACTTTTCCCAACAAAGATACACTTTTAAACAAACAGCTTATGAAAACTCGTAATAGGTAGAATCTGGAGGTCCCGCGTGCATGCATACTGCTCAAAGGATTGTTCTGTCTAAAAAAGATAACACTTTGACAACGCTCCCACCAGCTTTAGCTGTTTTTCAGGGTCCTAGTGCAGATCTTCAGGATGCAAACACTGGTGAACACGCAGACAGGTTACAGCGGTTGAACTGGTTATTACAAATCATCTGAGCCATGGTAGTTCTCAGTGCGCTGTCAGCACTGCCACCACCCGTACTTCTTCCTTAGCTGGAATTACAGCTTGAGATGGGAGTGAAGTTCAATTTTGCATTTAGAAAGGGCTGGAGTTGTCCATAGGAATACTAACCACGGCTCGAGTGGGAAGTTGATTGTCAGCCCGGGCCTCATCCTGTTTCTGCCTCTGTTCTTGGGAGTTCTTCCATTGATAAATGTTTATTTGACACAGTTTGACTCCTCTGTTCTTTGCCCAAGCAAATGTTTCCAATGCAGTGGTCAAGCAGTATTCCAGGTGCATGCACACAGCTGACCTTCTCTGTATGCCCACATCTATATTTCATATATTTTGCCATATTAATTGCCATGGTAGATGCTAATCTTTTGCTTCTGTGTATTTCTTCACAGATGTTAAAAGTAGTTTCTTAATAACAGAGTTTTTAAATTGTAGGAAATTGTTCAACAAAAACAGCTAATGAAATATCAAGCCTGAGTAGCAACTTATTTATGCATTGACTAGTTTAATCAAACTTCTTTAACTGGACGACTTGTTTCCAGATGTGATTGCGCAGCTGTTCTGTTTTGTTAAGTCATTATAGCATCTGATACGCTTTCATTTGGGTGCAGAATTTATCTTTAACTCTAGTTAGAATGTATCAAAAGTGTCAGTTAAAACTGTCTGCGAAAAATGTTTTACATGCATATACCATCCCAAAGCATACTTTTGGGAAAGCCATTTAAAGAATGTTTTGCGCATTGAATTATTTTTATAGATAAAGGTTAGCAGGTGTGCACGTGTTTGAAAGGCTCAGAGCCAGTGTGTAATACATCTTCATGTCTTTATTAAAAAAAAAAAACATACAATATGAACACTTGCTAATTGCAAGTTGTTTCAGTCTGCATAACAAGAATTCCACATAGTTTTGATGGCATGAACATAGTTTCAAATGAGGATTGTGTTAAAAAGTTGTAATTTGTGAGCCCTCTGTTAACATTTAATGACCCTGTCAGGAGGATATGATTGATGCAATTAAGTTGTCTTGCTTGTGTGTTATATAATTGATACGGACTGAGAGTAAGATCCTAATTTAGAACATATGAATCTCTTGTCCTATTGCATTCAGGAATGAAATTAAAGCGATTTATAAATGTCTGCTTTTAGTTAAAATATGGGGGAGGGAGGAGGAACATCTGCATGCCAAAGCATTTTCAGTAGAGTCAAGGATTTATATTCCATATTTCATACTTGGAACGCTTTTATCATATAGGATTAAATTTGCAGATCAAACTGATTTTAAAGGCAATATCAAAACATTTATTCTGCCTTTGGAAAATAAGTGTATTTCTACAACAGTATTTTGGGACGAAAAACTGACACATTTTTGATAACCAGTAAATGGTCCACTATTCAGTTTTTTGAGATCTTTTTAAATAAAAGAACTGGTATTCCAAAATTAAGCAGTTTACAAAATTATTTTTTCTCCCTCCCATCACCTCATTGCAGTTTTCCGCTCTCTTGTCCCCCCTCCCCGACAAATGTTTTTTCATTTACCATAAAGTAACCTACATAATTTTTTCTCTGGCCTGCTCAGCTTGTGAGCTACGATGGCAACTGTGGATTTGCTGCATGCTTAGAATCGGGAGACTTAAAACAGAGGTCCCACACGTCCACATAGTGCAACATTCATTATACTTTTGCCTACTGCTATGATACTGTTCCTCCTGATCCGAACATCCACCACACTAGAAAGAAAGAAAAAGTTTAAAAATATGTGAATGCTAAACGTTAACAACGTGAAGAATACTACAGCAGGGAGCTGATCTTGGCAAAGTTGCTTTTTCACTGTAGCAGTAGCAGACCTTGGCTAGTAATACATTTTTTTGAAGAGTGATGTATTCTGAGTAATTTTTAATATAGACATTGTTACTTAAGGGTTACTTTGATTTTTGATACGGCGAAGATGCCCTCAACCTTGAAATTCTCTGTTCATTTATATTAAGTATTTTTTCAAACGAGTGACACAAGTGGTTGTCCACAATGTATGACAGTAGTTAATGTATGTATACAGTAATTTTTCTTTAACACAGGTGTTATGCTACTTTCCTTATGATAACTTGAGGTGCTGCCTGTTTATTAGGTGCTAACCATATCCTGGACTAAATAAACTGGAAGGTCAAAGGCCAAGGTGTTTATAGGTAGTAAAGTCGGAGGCTGATGTGCAAGATGTTTATCAGTACAGGATATGGTTATTACCAAGTTAGGGGGAGCCACCCTCAAGATGTTTCTGTTTCTTAACAATTATACGCCTGTACTTTCGTCAGTTTGGAGATGAGATTTTGATACTTTGAATAGATTTTAAATGCTTCATATGCCTCCACAATGCTTTTTTTATGTGTATAGTTTTATGTATAAACATTATAGCAGATTTCATTAGCATAATTTCCATGCCTTCTGTCATTAAGTTTTTGTGTGGATGTACGCAAAGAATGAGTGATCACTTTGTGCAAAGTTGAAGATAAGGAAGTTCTCTTTATTGATGTTCTTTCTTATATCACTTCTAGACAGCAAACATCATTTCAAGTTAACTGGAAGTTGATTTACTTGTTTTCTTCTGTTGTTTGAACGCTGTGATGATAGGTGAAATGAAACTTGGGCAGGAGAGAAAGTTGGTATGTTTAGAAAACATAACTGAATTTCCAAACAGATAGGTTGGGTAGCTTAGCTTTCTATTTCACACCTCTTGGAAAGGGTGGGGAACTAAGGTCATGTAGGAGTAATAAACTGGAAGGGAAGTTCAGCAGTAAGTGGGTTGCTGTTTCTTCATGTAAATATGCAACTCAGTGTAATCTAATTCAAGAGATATGTAGCGTACTATATAAGTACTTTATTGGAAATCTGTAGAGTATGAAATACCCTTCCCTCTGATCATTGCTTTGAATAAAGGCAGGGATTTGCATATTGTGCTGCTGAGAAATAACTTTACACACACCAGACCTCTGATCCATGCAGACACTTGCCTATGGAACTTTGCCTGCAATGCTGGTTCGTTATGGGATGGTGCTCTGCTTCCTCATTCTCTGGGAACTCTATTTTATATCACAATATAGAAACTAGGAGTACAAATTGATGTAAATAGCAGGTGAGACTGGAAATTATTTATTTTTCTTGTCCTAGTGGTTATTTTGTCTAAGATCACGGTTTTAAAGTAGAACATGTATTTTAGGACCCTCGAGCTTTGTACCAGTCATAAATAGATATTCCAACAGGTCTTGGTACCTTGATGGGAGACTGCTGCTACTGATTACTTCAGTCTGCATTGTTTTTCCTCTCGCGCTTCTTCCTAAAATTGGTGAGTAATTAAAGGAGAGACGCGAATATTATTCTACTTTAGTAGCAATTACAGCTGAAGACTTTGAAACCTTAATGGGTTATTTATTTATTTTAACTGGCAGGGGGCTGGTGATGGTGGGGATTACTTAAGTTGTTGTAGTGTGTTCTGCCTTCCAGCCCTGCCTAGTTAACCTATTACTTGGGTTGCAGTAGTATTTTGTCTGCAATACTAAAATAAAATCTTTACAGCAGAACATTAAAGAGCTGCATTTACTTACAGCGTGCCATTAGTGGTAAGCCAGTTCTAATTCTGCCCTACAAAACTACATAAATGATCTGTGACAGGCAGTTGGAATGTTGTTATTCTGAGTCCTAAGCCCCAGATACCAAGCACTGTAATAGAAAACATGCCTAAAATGTAAAGCTTTAGCTGTACATTAGGATCACTTTCCTTATAAATTCTCTTTTATTTTTACTGTTATTTTACAGGCTTTCTTGGCTACACAAGTAGTTTATCATTTTTCTTTATGGTGTACTTTGCTCTTGTGGTAAGTTAAAAATCCGTGCACAGCTTATCTGTTTTTTTTCTTATTGTTTGAATGTTTTCATAAGCCTGTTTTGAAATGAATTGTCTTCCCCTCCCCCCTTAACTTTTTATGTGAAATTTAGAGTTTTCCTTAAGTTCAGTATGTGCTTGCTTGGACAGATTTCATTTGTTTTGCTGAGGCATGGAAATGTATATGAACTTTCAAACATGTGAAAAGGTTTAAAATAATTGTATTTTGGAGTGGTAAATGTAACAATATTTTTATTTTGCTGATGGTGCGGTGAAGGGAGCTGGCACATACACTTTTGTTTCCCTACTAGTAGTGGGAAGGAATTCTGTTTTCTTAGCTTCTAACTATTACTTGCTGCAACTAGTGCAGAAGAAAATTTAATATACTCCAAATAAATTAAATTTACATGTATAATGGAGTGACAGAGTTCAAAAAAAGGCAAAGAAAACTAGAACTTCATTAAGGCATTTTACAAGATTCATTAATACGTCAATGACCTTATTCTTCTTTCCTGCTGAAAGGAAAAGTTCTTTTCTCTGAGCCATATGGGGGTTTTTGACCCTGATGTTCACCCTCTCAAGGCCCCTGTGAGGTACATGTTTCCAAATATCAAAAGTGAGACCTGCTAGGCAGATCTAAGAGGGAAAATGTGCCTCTACGTTGCACTATTTTTCTTTTTACAGGGAAAAAGTATGTTAATGCACGTGTGTAATACGTAGTACGAGCAAGCAACTCGCACTCTGTCATCTAGGTCTAGAAACAAGAATCGTATCTGGGAGCCGGGAAAAACCTTCCCCCTCTCCCCTGTCATTCTGGCTTGCATTGACTTGCATTTAATACCTGTTTTACAATGGGATAAACAGAGTTGAAGGCAAGTTGAACAAACATGCCATCCAGGAGACCAGGGCAATCCATTAGGAACTAAACCATGTGATAAAACCAAACTTCAAAGTTGTCAAAACATCTCCCTAGGGTATCCCTGGAGAATTGCAGTGTTTGTAGGACCTTGGGAAGTATTCTTCCTAAGCTGAGCATTGAGGAGCAGCTACGGCCTCTCCAGAGCTAATGGAAATTAATTTGCAATATTTATAAATTACCTTAACTTTTGACCTCTCTCCTAAAATTTCTCTTAAAAGAAAAAAAAAGAAAAAGCACTAACTCTAAGGCTGAAATAGGCCTTTGGCTGAAGCTACTTGCAAGAGTTTTAAAACAAGTTCAGCTCCTGGATTTCAGTAGGAATGTGTATGCATCTCTGAAGAAAGCTGTTGTAATGGGTGGATGCGTTTGAAAACAATTCTGGGCTTAGAAAAGGCAAGTGTGTAAGCAAGACTTGTGTGCAGACATATCAAGCTGGGATGATTTAAGCTAGGGTTTAGTTTCGATTCTTTATCAAAAAAGTAGGTAGAAAGTACTAATGAAGGAGTACAGAGACTACTGGATTTCTTACAAAATGGTTGAATTTGTATGCTTACTCTTCGTTGTTAAATGACAAAGAAGCAGCCCCAGTAAATCTAACTGAGGTCAAAATTTTTAAAAGCTGTTACGGATATTTAAAGAAAACTAATACTCTTCACAGAATATTCTCTCTGACTTCTTTAGGCACTGAAACTCAAAGGCATTAACTGCAGTTTAGTTTTCGTATCTAATGCTTTGAAGTGGGTGATATGTGCTGTTGAAATGGTGTTTTAGTTTGCACAATGTTAATTTCTGTATGGCAGATATATTTTAATTTGGTCCAGAAGAAAACTGTGTTAGTCATATGGAAGTAATACATTTATATTTTGCATATACAATAATTCTGTGCATTTTCAAGTGCATACCATCTGTTCAGCTTTTTGCCAGCAAGCCGCAGTTTCAGTACAGCCTGCAGAAAAGATAGGTACAATAGACAGCATATGTCTTGGTCAATATGGTCTAGTGAGTGCACTGAGCAAAAGGTCTAGAGACTATTGTTTGTTCTCTGTGCTCTGCTGTGGGGCTTTGGCAGGTCACGTATCTCCTCTCTGTGCTTCAGTATCTCTTCCTTTGAAGTTAATACACTGGTTATAGCCCTCACTTGGAAAAAAGTGAAAACACTGAGATGAGCTGATCTGGGAGAAAAACAAATATATGTAACGATTAATTCGAAGCCAGATTCTGTGAGGTCCTGCGCACTTTTGTTTCTGATTGTTGAATACTTTCCTGACTTGAATCCTAAGTGAAAAGAAATTAAATGTGATCGTTAAACTTTTTTATTGCCTCCCCTCTTGCTATATTGAATATTGGTGAAGAGTAAAGACAGATTTTTCTTTTTTTTGTGGAGACAGCTCTATTGGTAGCTTCTTCAACAAAGGTGTTAATGATTCCTGATGGTATTTTTCTAAATCTCTTGTTCATGTTGCCAGAACAAAATGTGATGCAGATTTGGAACCTGCCATATGTAATGAATGATGTTATGCACAGAGAAGCCCCTCTTTGCCGAGTGCTGTCAGTACTGCTGGAATAAAGGGATTCCTGTTTTCCCTCCGCAGGATACGAAAAAGCAACATCACTGAGAATATTAGAACATTTTGAGCCTCTAACTTTATTTTTTAGCAATGTTTTTGGTGTGAGTTTTAAATACCCTATTTCCACTAGAATCTCTCTTTAGGTTTTAGGTTTTTTTTTTCACTTAAAACCAAATGTTTGTTATACTCAAAAGACAAGGTTTATATGAAATAGGCTTAAAGTTCCAGAGGAAGATTGTCTGTGCTGCCTGCATGACTGCTCAGCTAACTGCCAACTTAAAAATCTCTTCCTGTTGGCGGGGGACCTCATTAGAAATACAGAGTAGACTACAATTGGAAACCCCAACAGATATGAATAATTAAGCAGGTGGGCAAATATAATTACAGATTTTAAATCATGTAATGCATTTTATTTTGTCTCCTTTTATTTCCATTTCAATCTGTTCTTAATCTGTATTAATTTCATTTTAGAAGAATGTTCTTCAGCTTTTTATGTTTGGCTTGTCTTGTCCTCCCTCTGCAATGTTTATATATATCTTTGCTCTTTAGCTTGCAGGAAACCCTGCCCCCAGCACTGCCAGGCACACTTCACTTTCCCCAAAGCTTGCCCTTTAGCTTCATGCCCCTTTTCATTGCTCAAGAAGCCTATTCCAGCCTTAGCCAGAGTTCCCACAAAGCCGCCTACTTTGGAGCCTTCAAAGCATCTCCTTTGTTTCCCCTATCTGGGTGCCTTTAAATACGGAGATCTCCTTGAAAAAATATTTTGCCTTCTTGCTCAGCCTCATAAATGTCTTCAGCTAGCCAACAAGCTTGGGCTTCCTGGGGAGACGGCACAGCCGTGTATCCACGGTTGTGGTACTACTGCAGCAGCAGTCTGCATCTGTCTCAGCTCATAGCTTCTCACCGCTTAGTGCGCAAGAAAGAGCTGAAGCAGGGGTGACCCATGTGACAGAGTCATGCATATGTATGATACAGGCCTAAGTTATATTTTAGTGTTTGGTCCTTTCCTCCTTCTCCCTTGGTTGAACTTCTTGATGTACTACCAGCATGTTCTTGTCCCTCCTTACGCCCTTCCTCAGATGAGGCTGCAGTTCATGTTGCACAGAGGAGGCAGTTTAGCCAATCAATAAGTAGGTAAGAACAGATCTCCTGGTATAAAGCAGTACCAGTTTAGTGTCAGAAACATGGTTGGAGGATTTCCATTGACAGTCCGTCTTCACAAAGTTTGCAAGACTGCTGTTGAGCAAGCTACTACCTAGTTCCATACCTTGAGTTGTTGTGAGTTGTTCTTAGTCATGCAGTTTAAGACATGTTATTGCCAGAATGGACTCAGCATGCTGCGTACCCGCAGTTTCCTTTCCCCACATTTTGTCTGGAGGTAGCATTTGTTTGCTTCTCCTGGCACTGGTGACAAGAGGGAGCATCTAATCCTTATCCCTTGGGAAACACCACTTGGCCGCAAGCAAAAAGTAGTTCTCTGAGCCAGGAGAAGCACTCTCTTCCATGTTATTCTTCTCGTGAATCTGAGTCTTTAATTAAGTTTTTAATTATTTGCTCTAGGCTTCAAAAGAATTATAACCTCTGAAGCCAGGCAACTACAATAGGAAATTAATTAGGGTGAAGAGAGCAATGCAACTATCATTTTAAACTAGGCTCCTGAAAAAGGAGGTAACATTTCTTATCTTAATTTCCCTTTGATTTTCAGCCCTGTTACTTGGCAGTCCCTAAACCAGCAGGGTGTAGCTAAAGCCCCAATGACATTCTGGGACAATAATTGCATTTATTGTTTTTCCTTTGCTTTCTAGTCCAAACCATATGTTTCTGCCTTTTAAGATTAGCCCTAGGCTCTGCTCTATCTCTGTAAAGGGCTTGTCTACTTAAGGAAAGACCCTGGGATAGCTAACAGAGCTATTCTGTACGGGAGGTAGTTAGTGTGGAGCACAGAGAGAGTGAATGCAGAGTGCTGGTTGTATTTCAGTTAATGTCAGAGCTCGTTTCAGTGCATCACTCCAGATAGGCATGCCATAAGGCTGCCAGCTGTGCAGAGAGAGCAGCTGTATGGAATGGCACTGACAAGCGTTTCTGTCAAGTTTCCTTCTTGTGGCCTAATTATCTACCACTCAAGCCTGTTAATTTGCGATGGGTGTAGCTCCTTGCTTTGTATACCAACAGTTTGATATTTTAGCTACGTAGATCTAAATTTAAACTGATTATTAGGGTATCATTCATACGATAAATATGCTGTCTTTGCAGATTATGATTAAAAAATGGTCAATCCCTTGTCCTCTACCTCCAAGTAGTGCCATAGAGACTTTACAGGTAAAGTGCATGCTGTTTTGAAGTTCTTCTAATTTTATTAGTAATGGCAATGCTTTCTTTACATTAATGCTTTCAGAATTACTTGTAATTTAAATTCCTTCTTTTCTTAATCATCACAGAAACTAAAAAGTTTCATTTTTGTGGTTTGGGTTTATTCTTTCATTATGCCATTTTTTTGCGTGTATGTCTTACAGGTTTCAAATTCTACTGGGGATTGTAAAGCAAAGCTCTTTCATCTTTCAAAAGAGGTAATCTCTGTTAACAATATGCAAACTTAAAGGGGGGGGGGTGGTTTTGGGGTTTAAACTCCATCCAGGGTAAGCTATTCTTCTGTAAAACTAGTTATAGGCTGCTGAAATATTTCCTATACCTGCTGCCAAGTGTTACCCAGTCTCACGCTTTCTTTTTTATATGAAGGCTGGCTGTCCAAGTTAGCATTTATGAAAGAATTTTGCAAATATGACCAAAGTATAAAGTATAACAGATGCAGCAGTGGTCAGCCTCATGATGCAGTCGGATCAAGCCAACTTACTGTGCCCTCAGCTAGAAGTCAATGCTACTTGGGGCTTTGCACACTTTTAGTTCCTGGCGAGGTAGAACAGGTTTCCTGAAACTGCCTGGACCTAACCTTAGTTTTTTCTTACCTGAAGGTAATTCTTCAGGCCTAATGCAATCTCGTGCATTTCATTGGATGCCAGCTTTAGTATTTGTTAATTAATGTGGCATTTAAATCATGTCACCACCCATCAAGGCTTGCAGGAGGGGAAGTATCATGTAGAATTCCAGTCTTTGTGGGGTGAAGAGGAAGGGAAAAAGGGAAGAATAAATCTGGGATAGGCTTGTAGCGTAGTGGAATTTAGGAAGGACACGGTTGCATTTGTCTGAAAAAACAAAATCCACCCCCACCCTCACAAGAAAAAGAGAGGGGGGGAAAAAAAGCTCAGGCAATGCAAACATGAGACAAATGTTATCTGTAGATCAAAGAAGAAATTTTGCTTTGACCAGAAACATCTACTGTGAGATTCTGGCCTTCTGTGCTTTGAAGAATCTTGGGACTCATCTCTACTTCTTTTTTAATTTTAACTTTATCAATAGAAAGTGGCATGTTTTTACCAGTATGGGCCTGATTATGTCAGCACAGCAGCTTATTCCACTTGGCAATTGAAGTAAGCTATACTAGATGATTCATCTCTTCTATTACAAGATTTTGGAATAATACACCACTAATTGTGTGGTTGCAACTTTAATTATATAACTATCTTAAAACTTTAGATGGCAAAGCATGTTATATTTTCTGGATGCCGTATCCAAATTTTTCTGAAGGAGTAATATGAAAATAGTGAAGTCAGGGTGAAGGAATCAGTAGTTTGACGGGTAGCTATGGATATTAGAATTTAGAAAACTTCTTAGAAAATTTCATGAATGATACACTGACTCTGGGGCAAATCCTACTCTTTTTACGTAAGTACTTGGCTTCAATATAGCTACAAAAGAATCTTTCAGTTGTTGGCTTATAGACAGCATGACCTCTCCTGATCATGAAGGAGTAAGCTATGACCACCACTTGAAGAGATACTAGTTGGAAAGGTCCATTTTTTTGTGGAATGATGCAGAGACACCATTCTGTGTTGTGGAGATTTATCTCGGAGCATTAATGTGGAAAGCTTTCCACTGACTTCCAACGCTTGAACTGAATTCTGAATTCATCCTGATATTTTTCCAACCATCTGTAATAACAAACAACCTACAAGATGTTTTTCTTCTATTTTAGAGTGCTTATGCAATACCAACTATGGCCTTCTCTTTTCTCTGCCATACCTCAGTCTTACCCATCTATTGTGAGCTCCGAAGGTAATGTATGAAAACACACGCAATATTAAAATATAATGATAGTATTTCTGTAATATTTTCCCTAAATGAATCTTGAATAATTTTTATTTTCAAGTCGGTGCCATCAAACAATGCAAACTAAGTAGCTTTCATGTTTTTGGGAAATGTACAGTTTTAGTCTGTACTGGCTTTTCCTCTCTTACAGGAGAGAAAAGTAGCAAATATGGTTCCATCATCAATGTCAGTACATTGTCCTGGCCTGAACAATCTGGAGAAAAAAGGTCATTTGCTAAGGTACTTACTAGTTAATTTTTATTGCTGTAACTGAATCTGCATTTGGCCACATCTGATTCAGTGGTTTTTTTGACCCAGATTCTGTTCCTGGTCTGTACTGTAACTGAATCTGCATTTGGCCACATCTGATTCAGTGTTTTTTTTGACCCAGATTCTGGGCTCTGAATATATATCATCCTGTATAAATCAAAATTTTGATGTAAAAAATACTCTGGTATGTCAATTACCTAGATGATGTGAAAAATACTCTGGTATGTCTAAATTACCTAGAAGATGGGGACAATGTTAGTTGTCTGCATGAAAAGTGCCTTTAATTAACAGATTAAAAATACTTTTAAAAACCCTCAATGTTACTGACAGCACAGACCGCAGCAAATACTCTGTGGCCATAAATTAAGAGGATGCTTTCTTATGAAAGGCAAGCTGCTCTTTTTTTTTTTTTATTTTAATGTAGATTGAATTGTGTTTAATAGTCCACAATACAGATTAAGCAACACTAATTTTCTGGGTTTTTTGTGTTTTAGTCCATCCAAAAGTAGAATGCGGAATGTAACTGTGACAGGAATTGGTCTGAGTTTCGTAGTTTACTTTATGTCTGCTCTGTTTGGGTACCTGACATTTTATGGTAAGTATATTCTTCAAGTATTCTTTAGCATGAAGGTTAATAATAAATGATAAATGCATTCTGTCTGGAGTACTTCCGGCTTGTTTGTGCATTGATACACTTGAATCCTCAGAAATCTTGTTCCTGTGAAGACTTAAGAATATGCCTATCACTGCACAGTATTACATTGACTTCTCAACGTGTAATGTAGCTAAACTTCCCGGGGTTTATGCCCTAAAATGCTGTACAGGCAAGATACTGGTCCCTAAACTGTAGCTGATGGTCTGTTGATGCTCTCTAATGCTATGTAATTAGACTACTGATTGCCACTATATGTTGGACTGTATAATATTTTCACTTAAAAGCTGGGAATGGATTTATCATAGTCTGTGAGAAACTTTGAGATCTGATAACAGTCTGCTTGTCCAACAAGTTTGAAAGGTCTGTTCTAAGGCTGTATCTTCTAGCAACATTTATCGCTTATTAACCCTGTGATAGCCCAGCACATTTGTAGTCTCTAAGTAGCACTGAGGCTGTTGCCTTTTATGAGGGGAATTTGACCCACAGCAAGCTAGCCCTAATGTTAGGTAGGCATGAAGGTTTGCAGCACGTTTTCTCTGTCCGGTACAGCTTGGGTACAAAGCATGTACGGCTTCTTTGTTTTGTTTTTGGATTTTTACAAATCAATTGGAACCAACACTAGCTATTTCACTACAAATCTGCTGGAAGTGGAAAAAAAATTTCCCATGAATCATCCAATTTAGGAAAGCTTTATTTTAAAGGATCGCACAAAGTGACTTCTTCATGATACCTTTGTTTATATGTAATGCAAATACAAACTAGAGGACTCCGGAAAAAAATTGACAAGGAACGTAAGAAAATTTGAAGGTCTGAATCAGAGAAAGCGCCCATCTAGTTTTGTGTCTTGACTTCAGTGGAGGGCAATGACAAAAGACTAGGGAAGCATTTAAAAAATTTAAAAGGATAAGCTTTGAGTTAGGCTTCCTAGCACATGCTTCCTGTCTGCAAGAATTTGTGTTGCAGGCAGTTCCAGAGCCAGAGGTGATACCTGTTTGATACATGAACTGAACCAAGAAATGCATGTTTCTTAGAGGAGATGTTGACATAGTGCTTGATGAAGTAAATGTACCTTTTTATTTACCAAACAGAAAAGCAGGGTATGAAACTTGCCCTACCAAATTCTACAGACATCTTTCAGTTTGTTTGCTGTAGAGCTCACATAGCAGTGTACTTCAGTTTAATAACTCTGCGTTTGGACTCTTGAATACTTTTGGGTACAGTTTTTTAGTTGAGTTTAAACATAGATGACTTTGGTATTCTTGCATTTCCCAAATACTCAGATTTCAGAACCCTTACCTACATAGTGGCTTTTTTTCCAAGGTCCGTCATAACCTTGGCAGGTGTAGGTGAGTGTCTGTTTCATATGGCAATTTTAGTATCCTGTCATGTAACGTCACAGTGTGATGCCTTACTAAGAAATGTCATTTGGCTCCATGTATCCTGCTTTAAATTGGTGTTATGGTGTGTTTTGTTCATGTAGCACGCATTGTCAAATTGAATCACCTCTACTTGGTGATCCAGCTGTCTTCTGGAGTAGTATCGTACAAATGCCATCACATAAATGCATCACAGTCACCTATGAGGACTCTTCTAATGTCTTCTGAAAACTCACCCTCTTTATGAGGTGACAACATGTCACCCTTTTTATGAGATGACCACATGCTGACCTGTGTTGATTGGAATGAATAAAAATCCTTGTAAGGGACAGTAAGGCAGTAAGACAAAAGCGTTCTGATTAGGATTTCCTCTCCTTTCAGAGTGTTTTATATTTCTTGATCGTGGGGTTGAGATAGTGTCTGACAAAGGACCAAGAATGTTGGCTTTCAGCGGCTAATAATTCCAAATTTCTAGGGAATTTTGCACTTTTTTCCCCAAGTATAAGTGCATATGAGCATAACTGTCTGAAAATGTTCCCTTGACACTCAGAATCCTTTGAAAAATTATATGGGGAGTCATGAAACCCCTAATAGCATATAGGCCACTATTACTGTTTCCTAACTGTCTCCATGTGGTTTATAGGAAAATATAGCTTTGAGTATCACTCTGAGAGTCTGAGAGATTCAGCAGGCAGCGCGGGATAACCATCTGTCTCCAGAGGAGATCTCAAAAAGAAGTAAAAAAAAAAAAAGGGGGGGGGGGGGAGAAAAATGGTAGTAACCCTAGAAACCATCCCAGTTCCTGTTACCTTCACTGTCACGACTTCTTTGGGACGAGACCCTGTCTTGACAGTAGTCTTTCAGTCTGTTTCACTGGGAACATTTCTGGTTTACTGAAAGCCTGATTTCCTCTAGGAACTCTTAGACTCAAGAGCCTAAAACACTGAAACCAACAGTGGATGTCTGTATGAGATTTCTCCCCCCCCTTGCAAGCTGCTTCTCCTTTTGTCACTTTTTGCTTGTCTTGTTTAATTAACTTATTTCTTTAAATAAAGAGAATCTGTTCCCTGTTCCTAAAACACCAGTCCAAGAAAATGTAAAACATTTTATGTTAAATTGAAAACAAAGAAAGAGTTCCCGCTTTGAAATGAGACATGCTTCATCTTTCTGTGGTTCAGATGGTTTATTCTGTTTACTGTGAATTTGAAACTTCATACAGTGACTGGACTTTGGTGGAGATTTCGGTCCATTCTGAAGTCCAAAAAAGCATAGAATCAGGGTATGCTGAAAAAAAAGAGTCAGGGTAGCAGACCAGTTTCAGGCCTCTGATTTTTGCTGTTAACTTAGTGAAACTTTTCACCTTGAAAGGTCAAAGGTCAAAGGTGAAGGATTCATCACTGATTCATCACTTTTTGCCCTGCTTTTGCCTTGAATAGTACAAAAGTAACGCTCATGGTGGTGTGTCCATGGTATATGATACTACAGCAATGCCACAATGGAGTTGGTTTTGCAAAGCTAAACATGCATGTGGTGGATAGCACATGAGATTCTTACTGCTGAAGAAAACAGAGCTGTCATTTGAAAGTGTTTGGCCTGGTTGGGTGCGTTGCCAGTGCAGTCCTCTATTGTTCTCTGGGTGCTATGAGAATCCAAACGGACAGCCTTTGGGTGTCCTTGTGGTGCACTTGTCTAGTCACTTGGCATAGGGAAGAATCAGTGTCAATTGTCAATAGGGGTTTTTTTGTTGGTGTTTGTTTTTTTTTTTTAATAAGAAATATCTTTTAGAAGTATAACTGATGCTAGTTGTCCTTCTCCATGTCATGCAGCAATACATTGCTAACACAGCCAGTAGAAGCACATACGCTAGCATAGTTTTGAACGTTTCTTTCTTCCTTTAAATTAGAATTGTAGCTTTTCTTTCAAATCATGAAATATCACCTAATGTTTCTGGGGGAAAAAAAGGAAATGCAATTCAGTCAATTTAGCAAAATTAATTTGTTTCTGGCTTCTAGTTGAACCAAAGAAAGAATCTGGTGTTGACTGTTTCAGACACAGAGAACAAGTTTTACAGTACCGTATACTTGGCTTCATGTAAGGTCATCTTTCTTTTTGATGCTTTCTCCTCCATATTTGTATCTTCTCTTTAGGTAGCTTTGGCTTCAGCAGAGGCTGTACAGGGGCTTGCCCCTTCAAGGTTTTTTTCAGTTTTTCGGGAGGTTGTGTATCTTAGAGCTAGTATATCAGTAATGCCAAAGTGATGCGTATCTGCAACCCCCCTCCACTCCGCATTAGTCACAAGCAAATTGATCAATTTGAATGTAAGCTTAAAATGCGTTGCTGACTATCTTAGTTCTCAAATGATTAACAAAACAATTAATTTTTCTGGTTTTCAGACAAAGTGGACTCTGAATTGCTACAGGGTTACAGCAGGTACCTGCCACATGATATTGTCATCATGACTGTTAAAGTAGCCATACTGTTTGCTGTGCTTTTGACAGTCCCTCTAATCCATTTCCCAGTAAGTATTCCTGAATGTTTTGAAGCTGGCATAAGCAATGGTAACGCTAATGCTTTGCAGACTGCAATACTTGAGTCACATCTAGTCTTGTGTATCTTATTCACTTGTCAAGTGATTGATCAAAGACCACATATTTGCATATGTTCCATGAGAGCTCCAAAATAACAACTAACCACTAAGCTAATTTGTGCTTTTGAGACAGATTTCAGATTAAAACTAGCCCACAGCATTGTTTTTAATTTAGAGAATTCAGAACTTCTAAAGTTTATTTAGTTTGATCCCCCCCCCCGCTTCTTAAATTGAGTTTTGCTGACTTGGTTTTTCCTTTCTACATGCACGCACCCGCACACAAACACACTTACACTTGAAAACTCAATTTAATTGTAAATTAAAAACACATATTGACCTATTTCACAAAAAAAATGTACTTTAGTTTATCAATACCATGGTACAACTGAAAATTCATTGTTATGGCCAAAAAAATTTGTGCATGCAAAACTGTGTATATAGAAGTAGTGTATAGATTACCTATCAGTTGGCAACATGCTGACAGTTGCTACCAAGCATGCTCAAAGAGATAAAGCATTATCCCCCAGACCTTCTTTTGTCCCTGCAAAAAAGGAGTACTTCCTTAAGACTAACGGCCACGTGATAAATACTGCTTTAATACTAAAGTAAACTATGCTACAGAAAGACAAAACAGTCAACTATTACTAAATTTTTTGCCTTTTGATTTTTAAAATGTTCTTTCACATCTGGAATGATGTAATTCTTAAGTTTATGAAATTGAGATAAGATTGAAATATATGTATATGTATGTATTTACCCCAGCAATGTTTCTCTTCATATTATGTAGGCGAGGAAAGCTGTATTGATGGTATTTTTCTCTCATCTTCCTGTGTCGTGGATTTGCCATATCCTTGTCACTTTAACACTGAATACAATTGTTGTTTTGTTTGCAATGTACGTGCCAGACATTAAAAATGTATTTGGAGTAGTTGGTAAGTTGTTGTCGTCGTTGTTTTGTTTCGGTTTTTTAACTTTTCTTCAAAAAATTCAGTATTATGATAAGCTAATATACTTCAATCTTGCTCTAAGTAAAATCTTACTTTCTGCTTTTTAAAGGTTCAACCACATCAACATGTTTGCTTTTTGTATATCCTGGACTCTTTTATCTTAAACTTAGCAGAGAGGACTTTTTATCACCACAGAAACTTGGGGTATGCTTTTTTTTCATGTGTGCTAATTATATTTAAACAGGCTCATTTTAGATGCATCTTAATACACTGTAGAGCATGTAATCCAAGGGGCAAAGTTCTTGTTTTCATTGCAGTTCACAAAATAGGTGAGCATTTTCTTTTAGCCTTCATGATAGCGCTAGTCTTTCTGAAACCCCTTCTTCACAAGAGCTTTTTGACTAGCAGTATGTCCATATGCCAGACCGTTCATCTGAATACATGCTTTTCCCTATAGTTTTCAGATGTTGACTTTTAATCCAATTTCTCCTCAGTTTTTACGCATTACTCTGATGTTGTCTGGGCAGCTGGGACAAAGCCAAAACTGCATTTAAGTGAAACAGTGTTTATGCTTGTTTTCTATGTAAGCCTTCTCAAAACCTTCTTTTTTTTTTTTTTTCCCTTTTTTTTTTTCCTCCTCCTTATGGTTTCTTTTTTGGTGTAGTAGGTTAAGTTCTAGTTGGAATTTGTGCAGCAGCCTGCTTTTTGTGCTGTAACTGTTTGTCTTCATTTTAACCACTGCTCAGCAGATCAACTTCATGACAGTGGCTAAAACGCTGACAGACTGTTTATACATAGTCCTTCTGCCATTCTTATGATTCATAGGGCTGCTCTTGTATTGACAAAATAGGGACTCTGAAAGAAAATCTAATAATGGTGCTGTCTGACCATTTAAAGTCTTGACTAGTTCCAACAGATTTGGGGCCTTGTTATAAATCAGCAATCTATTGTCTCTTGGACTGTGGTTTTATTATCATCTGGCTTTTCAAAAAGGTAAAGAATCCATTGTAACTTGAATTATATTTTGAGTAAAATACAAATTCAGTTTCTTAATTTGTTCAGACTTGTAATTTTTTTTTTTTTTTGGGCAGATGGCTAGTGTGAGCAAGCAAACCAGACTGCTCTGAGAGTCCCCAGTGAAACTATCCCAGAGCAGGCTTAGTTCAGTTTCCCCCTAAGCAGATACCTTGTGTTGGAAGGCTGAGTAATTTGAAACATTAAAGATTATTTTAAATGACACTATTTAAACCTGTTCTTACAGGTTTTTTCATCGTTAGTTACAAGCCTTAGAAATGTAAAATGCTTCCTTCAGTAAAACATTAATTTTTGCTTTTCTTTCTTCACAGGCATGTGCATTGGTTATTTTTGGCATTTGTGTTGGCCTTCTCAGCTTAGTTCTAATAATTTTGAATTGGATTGATCAATAACAGCCTATTGTCTGAACTGAGCTTCAGAAGGACAGCAAGAACCAGAGACGTGTCAAAACTACTGAAATGAACGCTGGATGTCCTAAAGAAGACACTGACCGAAGCTGTCTATGGAAGAAATAGTGCTCTTTTTCACTGCGTTACCGATGTTCCTTCTTTTATCTTGAGTCACTCTCTTCAGTTACTGGACAATTAGTCTTTGCCATTCTAAAATATTACTTTTTAATGATGTAATTATGACAGGTAAAAAGATCTCTTGAGAATTTTGCAGTGCGAAAATGGTTTAGTGCACATGGTGAACAAAAGCAGAACCTTGAAATAACTTCTCTTTTAAAGACAATGAGATGGATAGATACATCAGTCATGACGTGCATATCATGATGTGTGCATTTAGGATAATGCACACATTACTCTAAACAGTGAAAGACTTCTAATGCTTGAACAATTTCCAAAATTTCATCCGGTTCATATTAAGAACTTCCTGATTCCAAATGTTTACCCTAATTTATCCTAACATGGATCCAGAAACCAACTGCCTTAGCCCAGTTTAATGGGCACATCATGATAATATTTGTTAATTGTTTTTTTAAATACAGTTTTTATACCTCAGTGTACTTGAATCATACTGAAGTAATTTTTAAATTAGGCGGCTTTGCCCATCTAGCATAATAGCTTTTAGTGGCATTAGGAAGTATTTCCATTTTGCAGTTAATAATAGACATTTTTCAATTAATATCTGCTTTTGAATATTATTCAATGTACCTCAGTATTCCTCCCAGTGAAAGACTTTTTTCTTTTTCTCTCTTATTCCCATTTTTACAAGTGTTTCATATTTGAAATAGAGTGTTTCTATATTTTATGTACTGTTGTGTGTCAGAGAAGGTTTGGGCTTGAAAGGTGAAATTCTGCCTCTGTTGAAGACAAAGGAAATTTTTTGTTTATGGAGCCCTAATTTCACCTGGGATCTCTATAAACTTCCATGTACCCTTTTATAATTCCTTTTTTTTTTTTTGCCTGAATGGAATGTGAATGCAATTTTCAACACCAACTGGGCTCCGTTAAATATGGTATTGAGTGCCCACCACAAAAGTTCCTCATGTTAGTAGAATGAAAGCAGTGGCTGATGCCATGGTAAGGTTTTTAAAATTTGTTTCTATCAGATGGGATCTGTTGTCTTTAAAATAGCCTAATCTCTTCAGAGACTTCATGCCCTAAGGAAGCTAAGCCTCCACAGAAATGGCTTGTGTAAAGATAAGAAATTAGACCTCAGCCTCAAACGGCAATATTTAGAGAGTGGGAAAGTTCTTCACTATTTCCAGATGCAATATTTCTTTTAATTTAGCTTAGCACTTTTACATCTGAGAAGTGGAATAAGATACAACTGAATCATAGCGAAGTAATACCATAGCGAAGTAATATGAAAGCAGCTGGTAAGTGACATTTAGAGAAATTTTTCTGTCCATAAGGTGCACAGTGAGCAAATTAGTTGACTGTTCCTAGAAAGTCGTGCTGAGACAGTTCCGTTAATATGTTGAATTACGTTTTATCGGTTGAGATAGGGGAGATGCCCGAGCCTGGCATTTCTAACTTCTTAGCAGCGGGTCTGTGCTATTAATCTTTTTAATTATGTCACATTGGAGTTGGAAAACGCTAATTGATGTGCCAACTTTAACATAACCCTGATTGAATGTGCTTTATCCTCACCTGTCTAAGAGGGAGGAAGAGCAAATAGCAGAGCTGGAATCACCTTCTCTATTCCTGAACTGACAAACTAGGATTTCTCATGCCAACAGATCACTCGGCTCTCTCAAGGATCCCTAAGACTTTTCATTTTTGATAGATGGCCTGAAGGCACCCAGGTGGTGCAGCCTGGTACTGCTTCAGGAATCCTTTTTGCCTGGGGAATATTATTCTACTTAGGAGTTTAATATAGAAACAGACATGTGTGGTGAGGCCTGGGAACTAACTCAGAAGTTTTGGTAGGATCCCAAAGAAAAGGATCCCTGGAAAAGACTGCAGTTATTTTTATAATAAAGTTTCTAGCAGAGGTTTCGCAACACAAGGTGAGCCATCTCATAGTTTGTCAGTACCAGAAACAGCATGTCCGCTCTTGGCCAGAAGTTCACAGCTACTTCTGTGGCACTGGCAGCGGCTCCTGGTCAGCGTGTTTAACTAGCAGAAAACCAACATGACCGCGAGGTGTGACACGTTACCTGCCAAAAAAATGAACTGAGTGAGCTCACTTAGGGAACGAGAAAAGTGAGGGGGGTGGTAGGAGTGGGACCGCCTTGGTGAGCAGCAGCAGCCATTAGATAGCACATTTTTCTCATAAAACCTCACACTTTGCCCAGCAGTTTTGCTTCAGCAGGTTAAAGTGTGTGTGTGCACGTAGGGGATGCCTCTGACTTGAGAGGTCTCTGGCCTCCTTTGATCAAGGGATCAATCAGACTTTCTCAGCGTTGTGTGAGTATTAATGGTTGAGGCTCCCTATCTTGCCTTTATTCTTGCAGTTCTCCCAGCTTGTTAAACTCTTGATAACCAGATGTAGCTGCCTTCCTGCCTGTGGCTACCCTCTAATAGCTGTGTTTCACAGGCTTTGTTATACTCCAGGGATTCAGCCACTCGGGGTATCTCTGGCAGTAGTGTAAAAAGCTAAATACTTACCTTACAAAAGCGTACCTTGAGAAAGCAATGACAGCTGTACATCAGGAAGTGATTTCCTATCTGACTGAACCACAACTTTCTAGGAAAACGGGAGCCCTTACATTCATGTGAATGAACTGTAGGGTTTTTTCAGACACTAGAATTTAGGAGGAATATTTATTAGAAATGTTACGGAAATTGTTCCTCATTTATCGTACGCTCTTGTAGCATACTATTGAGTAACACTCGTAATCACTGCAGTCACTTTATTTTAAACTCTAACCAGCAGGACTTAACACTGAAGACTTCGAGTGTCTGTGAAGGTGCAGAAAGTTGGCAAAGTTTTGCTAAGCTTCTGCTCTTTCCTCCTCCCCCTGAAGAAGCTGCGTCTTGCCATGCACTGTAATAGTCTGTTCGTACGCAGGCAGTTGGGTTGGTGTGCGTCATCTTCAAAAATGTGACTGAGAGAATACCTGAAATACAGTGTTAATTTTACAGTTGATTCCTGTAATGCTACGGAAACCATTACATTATTGTTTTTAATCCCCGAGTATTATCCTAACTAGCCTGGCTGTTAACTAACTGTCCTGATAGGTAGACTTTGGAATGATGAATACCAGTGTATGAAGTTCATACTCGGTGAGGCTGAATGGAGGCAATTCACGCCTCTGCTGGAGATCTATTACTGCATTTTGGCTGCGGTGCAGAAGGGATAGCAGCACAGGGCGTTACAGAATGTGTGTTATCTTTCATCTGAAAAAGAGTTAGAAATACTGCTACTTTTAAGTTTCTATGATATGTAACTTAAAATATGGAGAGAGGGAGAGGGGCAGAAAGAGAAAGAACTTCTATTTCCAAATTTAGAAAAAAGTATGAGTGTTTTCCACAGTGAAAAAGCCGAGTAAGGACGCTGGTTTTATCCTTCGCATCTCCCACCGACTGTTCTGTTTGTTGTGTCTGTGTAAAGATTTCACTACAATTGTGCACTAGCAAAACAGGCCTCCGATCTGGAACTCTCTGCTCACTCACATGTTGCTAAATACATTTTTTTCTTCATTCTTGTGTACAGATTTTTTTTCCCCTGAATTTCCAGTGGTTCTGCTTTATTACCTGTAGTTAGCATTTTCCAACCTTCTTTTTGAGGATTTGACAGGAATGGATGAAGGGGCCTGCAGCATTTCTGAACTCACTTGGAAGGGTTGCCTTTCCCCAGCTGAACAAGAACAATATAAGAGGTGAAAATTAATTGGTAGCCTTTGATTTGTTTTCTCTCATTCTCCTATTTCTGTTCCTTGTCCATTTGAAGGCTGCTCAAATTTCAGATGGACTGTGGTAAGCTGGGTGTGGAGTGTCTCTTGTAAACAGCATTGCAGGAAGGAGTGCTGCAAAACAAAGGCGCTCCAAACCTGCCTGTGTATTGTGGCAAATGCTCGTGTTTTATTCCCATGTTTCTAAGCAGTTTGCATCTTAATATATTGATATATTATTATATTGATAATATAATATAATAATATATTGATTAATATATTGATTTTCACGGCAGTAAGTTTGTTTAAAATTGTCTTGTGTCCCTGTATAGTGAAAATTGAGACACTGAAACTGTCCTGTCCTCTCTCTCTGTCTCTCCTTTCACCTTCCCCTTCAATTCAGTTTTGCATTAATACCGGTTACGTGGCCCTGAGCAGAATGTGCTCTGAGGCACGTTCAGTGAGCTGAACAGTCTGAGTGATCATTAGGGGGAGTGCAGCCTGGGTGAAAGGTGTGGATCGGGGAAAGCACCGCTTTATCCATGCCCTGCAGGCTTGATTTTCACTGAGTGCCCACCACTGCTCATCACTGAAGGTCAACGCTACACATAGGCAGACCTTTTTGGTGCGCCCACCATGTCTGTTCTTGTAAGAATTTGTCTTTTTGAAATACGGAGACATCTTAACTTTGCAACATGGGAAGACTGTGCTGATTTGGAGTTCTTAAATCATTTGTTTCATGTGTAATATACTCAAAGTGCCATACGTCCTACCCTGGCAATCCTCCTAACGAGGATGAAAACACAATGGTGCAATGGGATCTGTCTGAGCTGCTAGGGCAAATGTTAAATTCTTGAGCAGCTCCTAAGCGGATCATCTGCATTAGAGAGAATATGGGCTTGTACTTTATGATTGTATTTCTCATGCTGCACAACATATCGTTGTGGTATGGATCTGGAAGTCAGTGCTCCAAGAGCTTTAGTCCATGGAGGCTGCGAGGATGCAGGGGAGCCGTCAGTCCACGCTGTTTGAGGCTCCGTAGGCATCTCCTTTGGACGGAAGTAGTGCAGGGTTATGGACCTGTGGGGGCATTTTGCCTGACCCCGTATGGCCAGTCTTGTTTAAAATAAATTCCTAAAATTTAATTTTGAGGATTATTTGTGAAGAATACGAAACGCTTTCACGAGCATCAGCTGATGCGCATTCAGCATTACATGTGATACGTGAGGACAGAAGTGTGTCTGTTCTGGA